GCCTCTTTTCCCCCCGCAGCAACCAGCAGCAGGAGGGGCCCCGGGGACCCCTGCTGCTGCTCGGGGCCCCTTCTAATTCCCCATAAGGGGCCCCTAGGGCCCCTGTTGCTGCTAGGGCTGCTGCTGCTGCTTCAGGGGCCCTTAATACTGCTTTGCTCCTGACAGCTAAGATGGTTTGTTAGGTAGGGTTTAGGGGCCCCTATATGCAAACTCTAGCGGCGTACATCCACTATAGCAGCAAGCACCGGGCCACCGCTGCAGCTCTCAGCTGCTGTTACTGCTGCTGCTGCTGCAGCAACAGCAGTAGCAGAGTCGCGCTGTAGGGCGCAGGGTCAACGGTTTAGGGTTTAGGGTTAAGGGTTTAGAATCGATACAGTGTACAAAATTGCTGCTCGTCGCAGCGCCTCAGAAGCAACATAAAGCAAAATAGAAAAATCATTTAATTTAAAAAAGAAATAATCGATTTAAGAGATAATTCTTTGTTGCAAATGGGAGCAGTGGGGAGCAGACGGCGCCTCGCTGCAGCCGTTGCTGTGGGTTTTAGGGGAAAGCGCGAGCCTACGGGAACTCGCAGGTTCAATTAAACGAGAATAATCCCTTTACTGAATTGCATTAACTCAATTTTAATCGATTTAATTTCAAAAAGTGAAGAAAAACGAGGAACAGAGTCGAAGCGCCGCTGCTAGCCGCAGGCGAATCGTCACGCGGCCATCCACTGGTTCTGGGGTGTACAGGCACCTCTGCTTCACCATTTTCTTCCTTTTCGCATTTTTTTCTCTTTTTTCATTTATTCATTTCCAAATTCACCTTTTCCTCTACTCATTTTCAGAAGAAAGCAAAAAGGCGCGCAGGCAGCGCCGAACCGTTCCTCCCGCATGCCTTGTTGAGGCCCTAACCCCTAACCCCAAGCCCTAAACCCTAAACCCTAAACCCTAAACCCTAAACCCTGACTCCCACACTGTGAGTAGCACGGGAGAAACCCCCGTAGCAAAGGCTGCAATGCCCCCCCACCCCCTGGAGCACCTCTTGACACCAGGACATCGGCTGCAGTAGTGAAACTAGCAGCAGATGCTGCAGCAGCAGCAGCAACAGCAGCAGCAGCAGCAGCAGACACTCTTGGAAGATGCTGGGCAGACGCGGGTACTGCAGGTACCGCTGTACCCCTCAGCCTGCTTCAGAGCGATGGATGTCAAACCTCGACCCAACCGGTGCGCCTGCTGCTGCTGCTGCTGCTGTTGCTGCTGCTATTGCTGCTGTTGCAACTAGCGTTGCTTGCAGCCCTACGGCTGTCGCTGCAGCGACCGCTACGTGCAGCTGTGCTGCTGCTGCTGCTGCTGTTGCTGCTGCTGCTGCGTAGAGCGCTGCCGCCTCAGTCGTCACTGGGACAGGTTTGTTGCTGCTTCTGTTGCTGCTGTTATTGCTGCTGCTGCTGCTGCATCCTAGAGAGCAGCGGTCTGCTTGTGGCGTGCGCCGCTGCTGCTGCTGCTCTCTACTCGTTCACAGTTGCTGCTGCTGCTGCTGCTGCTGCTGCAGGCACATCTGAGCTTCTGGAGCTGCTGGAGCGCGAAGAGGCGCAGCAGCGGAAGGAGACAGCAGCACTGCTGGATTTGCTGCAGCGGCAGCGCGGGGACATAAGCGTGCTGCTGCAGCAGCAGCAGAAGCTGCAGCAGCAGCTGGAAGAAGTCCAGTGCACCTTAATAGAGCAGCGGCAGCAAAACCAGCAGCTAAGGAGACAGCTAATGGTGTTAAGGAGACTAAGAGCAACAGAGAAGCAGCAAACGCTGCAGCGGCTGCAGCGGGCGGAGGCTCAGTTTGAAAATGAGCTGCAGAGTATATTTCTGGGGCCCCCCGGGGGGCCCCCCCCC